GAACCGCGGTCCCTGATGCTTTGCCAAGCTTGTTCTAAGTAGGTGCCTTAGACCACTGAGCCATCTCTCCAGCCCCTGCATTATGTTTAGAAGTACCTGAGAACTGTGAGGAGTATAAAAATACAAGCTGAGCATGGTGGTGCATGCCTATAATTCAAGTACTCAGGAGGCTGGGACAGGAGGATTGTTGTGAGTTTGAGACCAGCCTGGGCTACGAAGTGAGCTCAAGGCCAGCCTGAACTGCATAGTAAGACCCTGTTTCAAAAAGACACACACAAATAATAATAAAAATTAAAAATTCATGGATTCAAGTTGGGTCCATAACCTTATATCTACCTCCTTTTCCATTTTATATGTAACTTAATCTACCTACACAGTAGGAATTGTCCTTTCAAATAGTGCTAATTTAGAAACCTGAGCCTATAAAAATAACCTCTAGGGAGGGGTACAGCGTGGTGATAGAGTGCTTGCTTAGCATGTTTGATGCCCTAGGTTCAATATCTAGTATCACAAAAAAGAACAAGAAATAATTTACTATTCCTGATACTCCTTTGCTACACTTAAGTGAGGCCATAATATTTTTAATTGGCAGTAATATTTTTAAGTACTGTTACAGCTTATGGCAGTGCAGAATCTATCCAAAAGGTCACTAATTGGGAACAAAAATATGTCACCTTTTTTACATACACTTCTTAGGACCAGTTTGCCATTGAGACCTACAGAGGTTGCAATTACTATCAGATAATAATGCTACAGTATAAGAACTAGTGTAGCAGTTATTAGCTGATGAATTGAAATGAAATGACAATGGTGTAGCCTACACTCAAACAATACTAAGTCAAATAATACATCAAAATATCTTCCAATTCCCAGTCTGTATCTAAAAATCTGCTTCATTTAAACCCAACTGTGATACCTACCACACTGTGGTAACAGGCTGTTTTTCACTTGGATTGGTAGAGGTCCTGTTTATAGCACTGATAGAAGTAATATATCTAATAAATATTTTATTATAAATATATTTTTATTTTTTAGATGGTAGTCTCACTAAACCACTATAGTTGCCTTGGTTAGGCCTAAACGTGGAATCCTGCCTCAGCCTCCCAGAGTACTACAATTATGGCCATATTCTACTTTGCCTGGTTACACTCAATAGGGTTTTTTTTTTTTTCCTTAGTTTTTTAAGTATTGTTCTAGAGTTAACTTTTTTCTAGACCTCTAGCTCTTTTTCACTATCAAAACTTGATTAATGAGTATATTGTTTCCACTTTTAACTCTCGTTCTACAGTAAAGTCAGTAAAGCATACAAAACTACGTTGCTCTTCACCTCTCACCTTAGCGTGGATCTGCCACTCACTCACAAGGTCAAATGCACACTTAATATCCGGGATCTGCCCTGCCCTTTCATTCTCAGCTCATTCACTGTGTTCTAGTTTTCAGCTTCAGTAGTAAGGTTGCTACTTTACCTTCTGTCTTCCCCAGCATTTGACCTGCTTTAACTTCTTTTACACCTTTTTGTATTTCAAGAATCAGACTTTAATATCTGTGGAAAGCCTCCCTGATGCCCTCCATTGTTTCTTAACACCTAACCTTTAGCGTAACACTTTGACCTCACATAATACTCTGCCTAATTTGTCTCCGGCATTAGTCTATACATTTCTTGAGTGCAGGGCTTTCTCATTCTCTTCCTTGCAAAAGTTTAAGTGTACCTGGAGAGGACCACATCGTGTTTTAAATCGATAAATAAATGTGCTACAAAGCTTTCACCAAAGCCCTTTGATTCTCATTCAAGCCCCTTGTTTCCTTCCAGCCCTAGAGTCTGCACCAGTCTCCTCAAGGTAGGACTGGGAAGATGCAAAGTAGAAACTGAACAGTAAAGCAAATCTAAAGGAAGCAACACAGATAACAGTACTGTAGGCTCTTAACAGATGTAAATGAACGTGCAGTGATCTTAACTTGCCCAACAGATCGCAGAGGCGTCCGCCCCAGGATTATAGCGCTAATGATGAGGCGCTGCACTGACTCCTCAGACGCTTGCTCTGTAACCAAATTCCGGTCCAGCCCGCGCCTGAGTCCCGACCTGTCACTCACCTGGGGCAAGGCGAGCAGGAAACTAAGTCCCCAGGCGGTCCCCAGAAGTTTCCGTCCACCGGAGCGGGGTCCAAGTGGGTTGAGTACTGCCGCCTGGCGGTCGAGCCCGATGACCACTGGCAGGAAAGCTGCAGCATACATGGCCATTAGTTTCAAAAACATAAGTGTTCGACATGCAATGTCCCCAGCCAGCCACTGAACCGTAATATTCCAGGTAGCATCTAAGGGCATAACCACAAAAGTGACCAGTAAGTCCGCCGCGGCTAAGTGCGCGAAGAGTCGCCGGACGGGAGAGGGACGGAGGTGGCTGGGTTGCGGCCGTGTCACTGACCACAGCACGGCCAGGTTCCCTCCAGCAGAAGACAAAAAGAGCACAATGGTCACTCCTACGCGGACCTTGGCCGCAGCTGAGAAGGTGGGCAGCTCTGAGCCCTCCACCTGCACTCCTGATCCCGCCCAGGCTTCCTCCCCCACCGCTGGCCCGGAAGGGGTGCCGTTGCCTGCAGACATGCTGGCCTAGAAGGGAAGGGTGGGGAGGACGAAGAGCGGTGCGAAGCGGTTAGCTTGGGCCGCAGATTCTTTGCTTTTCTTTTAACGATTGAAGCTGCTTATTGCAAATTTCGTCCACTACAGTCTCTGTAGACTCCAGCTCTACCGGAGAAAGTAGCCAAATCGAAATCTGGCGCTAATCATGTCCCTTTCCCTTGCATAGATTAGTCTGGGCTTCGGCTTCAACTGCCTCAGCCCCTTTTAGCGCCCACAGCCCGCGGTTCAGCCCGAATGCACGCGGCTGCGGGTGTCCGCGGCGCGCCAGCTGCGCGAGTTCGGCGGGGCGCTCCTCGGTGAACCCTACCCAGCCTCGGGGAGGGGAGCTCAGGCGGCGCTTTCTCGCTCCGCCCCTGCGAGGCTCCGCCTTTATCTTGAATATTTAAAGCAGAAGGTACTGCTGGAGGTGTGCCTAGGAGACACTTTTAGAGGCGGATGCCCTGGCAGAGATTCCCTCACAGTAACACAAGAATGCAGACCCAAAGGCGAGCGTCGCGCGACCTGAAACCCCGCTTTCAGGGCAGGCTCCGCAGTTTCTCGCCGGATGCTGTTTGTCCCTCGCGCGGCACCGTTCGCTCGCCTAGTAGGCGTGACTAGGGGCTGGCACTAGGGCGGGCGCGGGCCGCGGAGCCACGGCCGCCGCTGTCATGGACGCCTGGGTCCGCTTCAGCGCTCAGAGCCAGGCTCGGGAGCGGCTGTGTAGGTGCGGCCCGAGGAAGAACGGGAGAGGGATGGGCTGAGAAAGGTGCTGGTGAGGCGAGGGCGCCCCGGGCTACGGGGGTCCAACAGGGTCAGCTGTGGCTACGGCGGCCCGTGCGGACGTGGAGGAGCGCGGTGGTGGAGAGGGTTCTTTTCTGCTCGCGGGAAGGATGGGGACACTGAGGCAGGAGCAGGCTAGCGAGGAGGCCACTTAAGGTTCCGGGCCTACATAAATTCAACAGATTCCTCACTAGGCGGTGTGGAATGAGGAGTCTGGACCTTTGCCCAGACTGAGGAGCTCCGGGTTACCTTTGCTCTCCTTTTGCTGTCACCTACCAGCAACAGCCTCCACGCTCTTGTTTCCCGTTCAGCTGGAGGGCCTCAGTTTCCCATTTCACCCTTGGGCCGTACCCCTCTCCTTGGGTGTCGTAGGCGTGCGCAGATGGCTAGTGGTAGAGCCTTGCCGCCTTCCCTGGCGCCCTTAGTCCTAATTGTCTAAAGTCTTCCTTTGTGAACTCTAAATAGTGCTCTGCACTCGCTTTAGACACTATAGGTTCTTTTTTTTATGCCTTCTCCTTTCCCAGGCTTGGAGGAGAAACGGTGAGATGTGGGCATGAAGAGGAGGAATGGGAAATCCAGCCTTGTCCTTTGGAGGGCGTTTTGAAGGGGGAAGTTAGGGAGGGAGGTCGCCACCATATTTTACTTGTCTTCTCCTCCAGGGCTGCCCAGTATGCATGCTCCCTTCTTGGCCATGCACTGCAGAGACGTGGGGCCAGTCCTGAGTTACAGAAGCAGATTCAACAACTAGAGGGTCATCTGAGCCTTGGACGAAAGCGTAAGTAACTTCCTTTTGTCGTCCCCACCTTTCTTCCTTAACCCATATTCTTTCTCCCGTCTTGCTCCCCTCCCCCACCAGTTCTTTTCCCCCATTTGGTTCTGTACTTATCCTGTGTATAAGAAAGTAATGGATAATTGGAAAGAATGGGACAAGTTTGAGAAAATTTAAACTGGGACAAAAATTAGAATTTGAAGTACAGGGCCAGAGAAATAGCTCAGTGGAATAAGTGCTTGCCTGGCATGTACAAGGTCCTGAGTTCGACCCCTGGTAGCACAAAAAAGAATTTGAGGTATAGTCCTCTGGGAAGCCTCAACAAGAGACTTGAGGCCAGGTTGGACAATTTAGTGATAAGCAAGAATTTGTCTCAAAATAAGAATACAAAATTTTAAGAGGGCTGGGAGCTGGGTGTGGTGGTGCACACTTGTAATCCCATCACTGGGGAGGTCTAGGCAGGAAAGTTGCTGAACTTGTCTCAAAAACAAAACAGTCTGGGAATGAAGTTCATTTGAAGACCGTGAGTTCAATTCCCAGTACCACCACAAATGTAAAATAAAATTTTAAAAACTGAAGTTTCTACTTTTTTGTTTGCTTGCTTGCGTGTTACTGTCACTTGCTTCACTTTCACCATCTTGCTTTCTCTTGTTTTGTGTCTTGCTCTCTACCTTTCTACTTCCAATTCCTTGCTTTCTCTTGCAAATCTCCACAAGTTCTTCGCCTGGGCAACTCAGCCGATGCTCTCGAGTCAGCTAAAAGAGCTGTGCACCTGTCAGATGTTGTCCTGAGATTCTGCATCACGGTTAGTCACCTCAATCGAGCCTTGTACTTCGCATGTGACAATGTCCTATGGGCTGGAAAGTCTGGACTATCCCCCCGTGTGGATCAGGAAAAGTGGGCACAGCGCTCATTCAGGTTTGTTACTTTTTTTTTTTTTTTGAGACAGAGTCTCACTTTGCACTGCAGTCTGGGCTTAAGTTCACTATGTAGCCCAGGCTGGCCTTGAACTCACACTCACAGTGATCTCCCAAATGCTGGGATTATAGATATGTGCCACCATGCCTGGGTCCAAGTTTGTTATCTGTTTAGCCTGCAAGACCTTATGTAACCCCCATACTCGCTAGATTGCCCTTTATGAGAGAAGGGCAATCTCTCTTATGAGAGAGATTGTTAGGTTCTTAGGTTCTTCCCAGAGGTCACAGTTTCCCATCTGTATTTTTGGCTCCACATTCATGGATTCAACCAACCACAGACTGAAACCTGCTAGGGGGAAAAATTGCATCTCTGTTGAACATATACAGACTTCTTTCTTCTCCTTATTCCTTAATATAGTAAGCAACTCTTTATAGCATTTACATTGTGTTAGTTTATCATAAGTAACATAGAGATGATTTATTTATTTATTTTTTTTTTTTTT